ACCAAATTCCAATCAGATGGAAGTCAACTTGATTATTCTTTACTTTTGAATTTTCCATGGAAGAAAGAACAATTGTTTAGTCTCCACAACTAAAATATGATCCCACAAAAAATATAAGAAATTTAGATGTGTCAGTTGACATAGAGGGGAATTCAACCTACGGAGGTGACACAAACCTCCTAACGTGGTTGGGGGTGGGGTGTGGGGGGGGGGGGGGGGGGAGTTCAATAATACAATGCACGCAAGCTTTGGACTACAAACAACTACCGTTCAAGTGCAACAGTTGTCATGAACACAATGAAGAGATGATTTCCAAAACAAAAACCAACCTATCCAACTAATAAATTCCAAATAGACGAAAGTCAACCTGATTAGTCTTTACTTTTGAATTCGCCACAAAACAAAGAGTGATTGTGAAGTCTTATCAACTAAAACATAATCCCATAGAGAATATATGGAATTTAGATGTTTTATGTAAGAACATAGAGGGGAAGACAACCTAGGACGGTGATAGAGACTTCTCAATGCGTTGGGAAGACTAAAAGAAATGCATCAACGTACGCGAAGGGTGGAGGGTTCAACTAGCGGAGAAGTGTGTGGTGTGCATATGAGATTCTTTTATCTTTAATTTTGTCAATTTGCATTGCTTTACATTTTGAATAGAAATTTGTGGTTGTAGTACTTTCATCCAAAACAACACAAGGGGTTATTTATTTATGTTCAAATCATAGTGGAAATAAATGAAATTTATTCCTCAATCTCTCTTTTGAAATCACGAATACAACATACATAGACATTGGACTATAATAGCTACCGTTCAAGAGCAATTGTTGTCATGAATACAGCCTATAGATGATGTTCTAGATAAAATTAATCTATCCAACTACTAAATTCCCATTAGGCCGAAGTCAACTTGATCAGTCTTTACTTTTGAATTCGTCATGGAAGAAATAACGATTTTTTAGTATTCATAACTAAAACATAATCCCACCAAGATTATTAAGAATTTAGATGTTCTATTTCACATAGAGGGGAAGCCAACCAAGGGAGGTGACATAGACCTCTCAACGCGGTGGGAGGACTGAAAGAAAAGCAGCAACATACACAAAGGGTGGAGGATTCCACTAGAAGAGGTTTGTGTGGTGTGGATATGAGATTCTTTTATTTTTAATTTTTGTCATTTTGCGTTGACTTAGATTCAAAATTTTCACACCAACTCTCGTATTATGCTTGTGTGTCAATTTGAATATAATTTTGAGATTCTAGTACTTTGATGGAAAACAACATAAGGGATTATTTATTTATTTTTAAATCATAGAGGATAAATCAAAAAAGGCCAAACCAAGTGAATAAAATGAAATTTATCTCTCTCTCTCCCTCCCTCCCTCTCCCTCTCTCTCTCTGGAAATCATGAAATTGATTTGAACAGTAAGATGTGTTGCTGGGTTGGTGGTTTCGAAACGAGTTGGAATGATAGCAATTTAAACTTTAAAAAAGTTATAGTTTGAATAGTTTCTCTGTTGCATGTCAACAATTACTTGAATATGTATATTAGTAATGATAAGTAGTAATTCAATCAGAAAATTATATTAGTAATGATACGTAGTAATTCAATCAGAAAATTAAGTCCTAATAAAATGATGCCATGTAAATATTTGTACATGTGACTGCTGATTGGTGTTATATTGTAGGTTTTGGAGTTGGAGATTATAGTCCACTCTGTAATTATTGAAATTTCCTTGGGTGCTTCTGAAACTCCAAAAACCATAAGGCCTCTTGTGGCTGCCTTGACATTTCATCAATTTTTTGAGGGCATGGGACTTGGTGGATGCATGGCTCAGGTATCAACACCACTACTCAATTTAACTTTCATTCTTTTTTTTTTTTTTTGTCTAAAGTTATAGCCTATAGGCTCTAGACTTGGTTTTCAGCTTTTGAAATTACACCATAAACTTGTAAATTGACATCCATTGGAAATGTTTACAACATCATTTTTAGCTTAATTAATTTTTGGGGTTTCTCACATCTTGCCTAAGTCTTGTAAAATAGTTTTTTTTTTTATCACGAGTAACAGTACATAAGATTAATATGGATATGACCCTTTGGTGGCTCATCAAATTAAATTAATGTTATATATTTTTTTTATATGGATGGGACCATTGAGGATGAACCAGTACGTATCATGGATAGCCAAGATCACAATCTAGATCCCCTCAAATAAATTTTTCTTCTATTTTTTTCTTGACAAATCATTTATCATTAATAATTGAAGAACCTTCTTGTGTATAATAGGTCCCACAAAAATTCTCAATAGGAAGAAAAATAGAAAAAATATAGATTGGAAGAGATCTTAGTCTAAAAATCAAAAGCTTGTGATTCAAAGTCAAAATTAACACATCAAGCCAGTAAATACTTTTTGTCTTCTTTTGGTCTTCTCTAAGCAAAATTCAAATCTCGGGCCGTTGCGATAATGACGGTATTCTTCTCTCTGACAACCCCGATTGGTATCGTAATCGGCATCAGAATAACAAACATTTACAAGGAGAACAACCCAACTGCTCTAATCGTCGAGGGGGTTTTAAACGCAGCATCAGCAGGGATATTGATCTGTATGGCACTTGTGGATCTTCTCTCAGCTGATTTTATGAACCTAAGAATGCAGAACAATGGACAACTTCAGTTAAAGGCTAATGCTTCCCTCCTTTTTGGTGCTGGCTTCATGTCTCTCTTGGCTAAATGGGCTTGAAGCTTTTTGTTGCTACGCTTCGGAGAACTTATTTGATTTTGAGTATATAGCTCAAACTTTATGGTTATTAACTGTAATAGCGTCTAAAAATTTGATTATTAAATACACAAGTCAGTTTTAAATATTTTCTTATTATTTTTTATTAAATTTTTCTTGATTAACTTATAACAGATTTTGTTCTTTTTTTTAATATTTGTTTCACTGTTTTTAGGAACCTTAACTGATAGTGTCATACATTTTCATATAAAAAACAAATACAAGGGCGGCCCAACATAAATTGGGGCCTAAAGCGTGAAAATATTTTACAGAAATTTTACGGTATGATTTACTTTCAAAATTTTAGTGGATTTGGGATCGAGCAAGATCAAACAATAAATTGGGTGTAATTGTGAAGTCAAGATCTTATAGATAAATAAATTGAATAAAGTTTTAAAAAATAACAATATAACTAAAGATACGCAAAAAGAACTAGAGCAATGAGACTGGAAGGGAGAGAAAGAGTCGGAGAGAAGCGGTCAGAGTGGAGAAAAAATTAATGAAAAGAAATTGAGAGATTGCTACTTTTAAAGCTAGAAGTCATTAATTTTAGATTTTTATGAACACTTTATTATACTTTAGGATTTTCTATAAAGATTAATAAAGACTTGGAAAAATATTGTTATATTTTAGACTTTTCTATAACACTTTGATTGACTTGTGAAATATATTTGACCTTTAACTTAGTCCTTTCAAAAGGGTCTTAGAACTTGAAGCTAAACAAAGGGCTGAAAATTAAATTGGATCTCTAAATTTTTAGGTTCTAGGCCACTATTTTAATGGTCGGGGCCTAGGGTCGGCCCTGTTGTGCCTCCTTTTAGTTAAAAGACTAAAGTATCTTCGCATCTCATAACAATTGTGGTGCTTACTCGTCCCTCGTTGTCAAGTCTTCGTCCATGAAACTAATTAAGTGAGACAAATTGATTACTGAATGATGCGCAAAGATTAAAAGTAATATATGTATTATTTTATATTTGGTGCATTTTTTTATTGACCGTTATAAGGTACTATTACAATAAAGATGTTCAATATTACAATGTGATATCACATAATTTTTCTTTTTTAGTAATTTAGGAATCTAATATATATTAAACATTATTGAAATTTTTTTTATATTAACTAGTTTTTATTGTGGATCATTTATGAGAATGAACAATTTAATTAGTTGGTATTTTTTGTGTTTAAATGAAAACTAAATTGAGTCTAATAAATGGTGTTTTTTTGGAAGAGTGATACTTATTATATTTTTTTTATCGAAGTGTAAACTTTGTTTTATCCTTTAATAAATGTGCATGTGTGAGGTGGATTGCACTTTTAAACGTAAATTTTAATTTTTTTTTTTGACGTAATCTTTCAAGAGTTTTTTTGTTAAGCTAAATTATAATGAATTTTAATATTTGATCTATACTTTATTATTGAACTCCAACATTTTTGGGCCTTTTTTATATGTGGGGACTAAAGCCCATGCTTTTTGGCTCTGCTATTGAGCCGACCTTGGATACTACATAGCAATATTAATATGATATTACCAAATAATAATATCAAAACAAATAAACAAATGGATCTCACAAAAAATAATAACTAACCCTCCATGTAAGCAAATAACTACTCACTCTTTCTTCATATAAGCCAATAACTATCCAAGTAGAGTTCGTTTTTCCCACTTGATATTTTATTATTAGTTGGTAATGCCACGTCAATATTAATGACATGGTATCACCGTTGCATTAAATATTTTCTCCACTTTCTGGCCGTTGAGGAGTTTCTTTGCCAAGATCGACACCAAAAATTGTATTTGTTTTTTGTATCAAATTCTCAATATTTATTTTTTGTATCAAAATGATTGCTTTAATTTGAAAATTGTGACAGAAACTAGGGTAAAAGACACTTTTGGTCCCCAAAGTATGCATTTAGAGTCTACTTGGTCCCCAATATTCTAATTCTGTCTATTTGGTCCCCTAATGTTCATAATTTGTATCTAGGTCGTCTAATGTCTAATGTCCGTCCAAAAGTCTTCGATAGATCATGTCATGCGCCATCCACGTGGGGGCATTTATGGAACTTCTCCTATCAATTAAAGTTGATCCTTCTTCTCTCTGTTAAACAAAATTTACCTCTTCAGATGCTCATTCATCTTCTCTCTCTAGAGAAGCAAAGAAAGTAGGGATTTGGTGGTTAGTGTTCTTCCACTCCGATCAAGAGTAATAACATCCAACACATGAAGCAGAAGAACATGGATGTTCGTGTTTATGGTGGTGATGATCAGTGGTAGAGTTAGAAATATGTTCTAGGGTGGACAAACTTTAATTATAAATTTTACTTTATCCTTTAATAGGTAAAAATAATGTGATTCATTTTTATTTTTTACATCATATTTGATACTTAAAGATTGATTATACACGTATAAAATATCTATGCAAAAAAAAAAAAAACTAAACAAAGGTTAATAATAACCCTTTATAAAAAATAAAGTTAATTATATAAGAGATGTGATCAAAATATCAATGTCAAAGTCACAACTGGTAATATCCATACTAAAGTTTGAAGGTTGCGGCATGCGACACTTCACTAATTATAGATACTTTGTTTGCTTTAGTGTTTTGGGAGAGAACTCAAAAATGGAGTCGACTAGACTTTTTTTATCTAATTTTTTTGTTGTTGTTGATTCCAAGATATTCTATAGCCCATTATATTTTATTCTACTCCATTAACTAAGAGATTTGTTATCCCAATTGATCCAATTTTATTTTATTTAAAGTCTGAGGATGGGCACAATTGAATAAATTAAAAAAAATATACAAATTATAAATTAAAAAAATTAGGGTCTGCCCGGACCCCTTCTGGCCTCCGTCACTAGTGACGATCGTGGTAGTAAGTATTTTCGTCTGAATTGTCTTTGCCATTGTGTCTTTACCTTCTATTCTGCTAAAATAGATGTTCATGGTGGTATTTTTGTGGTCTCATGTTATGGGTCAATATGTTTTTTTTGTTCACCCAAAATAATCTGTACAATGATTATAAAAAGTTTGAAAAAAATCAAATGTTTGTTTAATTACCCAACTCTAATTAAAATATTACTCAATGTTGTTATATCACTTGTACAATGTCATGCTATAAGCTTATATCAATAAAGGTTCATTATGGTGGGTAACTCATAGATACACCAGTGAAAACATATATGTTGATGGGAAGGTTGATATCATAAAAGGTATTGATCCAAACAAACTTTCTTTGTTGGAATTAGATGATATTGCTGAAAAGCTAGGGTATGCACTATATTTGGCCTTCTACTACAAGTTTCTAGTTGTGATTTGGCCAATGGTTTGAAACATGTCTCTTGTGACGAGGTAATAAAGCAAATGTTTTAGTGTTTTCCAGGTAATAAACTTGTTCAGGAGTATTTTGTGTATCCAGTTGGTTTGCCAGAACAAGGTAAGAATAACCCAATGGGTAGTGGAGATACAGACTCTGAAATAGATTCTGAATATGTGGAGGAAGAAAACCAAACTGGTTCAGAGTCTACTGAATATGAAAATGTTGTTGATGATATGGAATGTTCAATAATGATAATGTGGATGTGGAAGTTCAATGACCCAGTTCTAATAAACAAGAGGGATATAAAGGGTATTTAGGGCATTAAAATGTCAACGAAGAGTTGAACCCTAAAGAAATTAACTTTGATTATGGATCTGGAGAAGAGCGTGAGAAGCCAAGAAAATGTAGGTTCAAGCAATTCAGACCTAAAATAGACATGAGCAACCTTCAATTCAAATTAGGGATGCTTTTCATTACATCAGCTGAATTGAAGGATGCTAATAGAAAATATTTATTTAAGAATCAAAGGAATATTAAAATAATTAAGAATGACAAGAGAATGGTTAGGGCTAGTTGCTGTATGCATCTCAAGTATAGGGTAAGGGTGTGTTTCAAGTGAAGACTTGTGTCAGCAAGCACTCATGTGGTAAATCAAACTATAATACAAACATGAACTCCACAATTTTGGCCAAAAAATATATGGAGGAAATTAGAGTAAATCCAAATCGGTCGGTGTGGGCTATGAAGTAGAGAATTAGGAAAGAACTAAAATTGGATGTGTCAAGGAGTCAAATATATAGAGCTAAAAAAACGACATCTGCCATGCTTAGGCCCTTTTTTCCCTTCCCTAATGAACGAGTCCAAGCCATGTACATGATTCATGGGAGTGAAGCGTAACAGTACTCTAGATTGTGAGACTATTGTGAAGATATTAAGAGGACAAATCACGGGTCCACTATGGATTTGTTCGCACCAATTGATGAGGATACAAATATGGCAAGGTTTCAAAGGTTCTATTGGAGGCATGTAATATGGGATTGGTAGAAGGTTGCAAACTCGTCATTGGGTTAGATGGTTGCCATATCAAGGGGTACCAAATTGGTCAACTGTTAGTAGCTATTGGAATTGACCCCAACAACTGCATGTTTCTAGTAGCATATGCAGTAGTTGAGATTGAAAATAAGGATACATGGCAATGGTTCATAAGCCTTCTAGTTCAATATTTGGTATATTCATGCATTTATCTGATTCCTTTTACTACAATTTTTGAAATGTTTGTATGAGCTCAAATACCTTTTACTGCATTTATCTGATATAGGGTTTAATTTGTGCACTACATGAGCTGATTCCTAAAGTAGAGCACAAGAACTGTGCAAAACACTTCAAAAACAACTTCAAGAATACCTTCAAGGGTTTAGCATTGGAGGATATGATGTGGAAATGTACAACTGCAACAACAGTCCAACAATTTAGAGGACAAATGGATTTGTTGAAAGGAGAGGATGAGGTAGCTTTCAATTGGTTGGCCAAGAAACCACCAACAGGGTGGAGTAGATCACACTTTAGAACTACTACAAATTATGTTCCTATGGTCAATAATATATGTGAAAGTTTTAATGCCGCTATCCTTGATGCAAGGGATAAGCCCATTTTGGAGTTGCTTGAGAGGGTGAAGATTTATATAAATGATAGGATGTTAAACAGAAGGGAGTGGATGAAGAAGTATAATGGATTGCTATGTCCAAAAGTACATGTCTTACTAGAGGAATATAAAGAAGTAGTGACATGTATTGCAGACTAGTTTGGGGATTTGAAGTGTCAAATCAAGTGGCCTTATGGAGATCAGTATGTTGTGGACTTGGGTGGTCACTCATGTTCTTGTATGAAGTGGGATTTTTCATGGATTCCATGCCCTCATGCTATAACTACTATTCAGGATAGGGGCCTAGAACTAGAGTCCTTTGTGAATGAGTGTTTAAACAAAGATGCATACATAAAGGCTTATCGAACACACATTCAGCCCATTAATGGCTATATGTTATGGTTTAGGACAGGGTTGCCTCTTCCATTCCCCCCATTAGGCTGCAGGTAACATAGGAGACCCAAGAACCTAAGAAGGAGAGGGTCAGAGGAAGTTGTTAACCCAAAAAAATCACACAGACTAAGAAAAGTAAGACAAAATTTAGTTATGTGCAGAAGATGTGGGAAATATGGACATAACAAAAGGACAAGTACACTTAGAATATCAGAGAATAGTGAAGGGGACATTGTTCAAGCTGTCAAAGGGGCTAGCCAGAGCATTGGTGAAGGCAACATTCTTCAAGCTGGCAGAGGAAGAGGACAACCAAATCGAGTTAAAGTTATAGTTAGAAGAAGGCAACCCAATGGTTAAACAGGTAGAGGCAGGGGAAAAGGTATTGGTCTGAGCAAAGGTAGAGGTAATGGACTTGGAATTGGAAAAGGCGGTACCGATATGACAGAGAGAGGTGTTGGACTAAGCAAGGGTAGTGGTAAGTAGAGGAGTTGAACTAAGCAATGGAGTTGGACTAAACAAAGGATTAAACAAAGATAGAGGTATGGTTGGTAGAGGAGTTGGAAACCAAAAGGGTCAAGGTATAGGGCATGTCCATCCTCATGAACAAGTTAGTGTAATATGAAGCATGTATCTATAGATGATTTGCTTGTTTTTCAATTTGATGAACCTTTGGAATTGGTTTTCATGCAGGGTGGTAGTTCTCAAATAACATCCAACTCAAGGCAATTCTCAGACAACACATATTCCATCATTCATGTTGAGGGGTCAAAGATGGTTAAACTTATCTGCACTGGAAGTTTCTTCAAGAAAGTTATGAACTTCACTTGTGTTTTGGGACCTTTTAATACTAGTCTTTTTGTTGGTAGACTGATCATCATGAAAGTATGGTAATATATTTTGGGGCCTTATGACAAGTTTTTTGTTGGCACGCTAATCAATCTGAAAGTTATATGATACATTTTGTGGCCCTTTTTACTATTGTAATAATAGTTAGTTAAGCAATGTATATGGATTGGTTTTATTGTTTGCATCTTTGAATTGATGTTTGAATTTGTAAGTTAATGGCCACTCCAAAAACACAATAACAATAATTCATGTTAAATACCATATTCCATTGCAAACATTGATCAATCTAATACACTGAGAATTACAAAGTGGCATACATCACCAATGCAAATATGAAACACATTGACTTCAATAATCCAGGGATAATAACCCTTGATCTTTCACACATGGGGGCGTCATACTACACAAAGTAATCACAGCCTGTAGATTTCTACAAAATTAAGTGTAAATTCTGTAAGATTTCACACTACACACATTTGAAATTTACAGAAAAACAAAAAATTTATAAACACAGTTCAATTTACCCCATATTTCTCACAACCAGGAAATCTCCTCTCAAGATTAGAATCGGTCCACAAAGTTCTAAGTCTCCAGATTTACCACAGTAGCATGGTGATGCCATTTCATTCTCTTCACCGATGCTCAGTTCTTTTTACGCTGGAAACCTCATAACCATTGCTCTTCAACAACTTTTCTTAGTCTGTTGTGTATCTTCCATGATCTATTAAGTCATCCCACTCTTTAGTCATAGACCCACACACATATATATATACACATATAGTTAGGTGCAGCAGATTTCAATGGCGGGAAGCTTTCCCTCCATTTTGTTCATGTCACAACCCAGATAGAAGACAAGTCAACTTCAACTGGTAGGTGAAGTTCCATAAATTCCCGCATGTGGATGGCGCATGACATGATCCATCAAAGGCTTTCGAACGAACATTAGACATTGAATCACCTAGATGCAAATTATGAACATTAGGTACCAAATAGACACAACTGAAAGATTGAGGATCAAATAGACACTAAATGTAGAATTTGGGTATCAAAAGTGTATTTTACCCCAGAAACTATGATAAAAAAACTGTGACAAGAAAACAGTGATAGGTAATAGTTTTAAATGGTTAAATGAAAATGTAAGATTGTGTTTGGAAACATTTTAAGTTTTCAGTTTTCAAAAAAAAAACGCAAAAAAAATTGGTTTTCTTTTTGTAAAAAATGAAAACAAAAAACTTGTTTGGTTGCATTTCCTGTTGTCAAAAAATATTGAAACAGAAACAGAAAACTCGTTTGATAAACACTTCTCAATTGTTCTATGAACAACTTATTTACATCATACACTTTCCTGCAAGTTTAACTGTAAAAACAACATAATATAAAAATAACACATTAACGCATAACATAATTCATAAAGCTATCATACTACAAACATATCCCATAATTTACAAACATCCAAGATAATGATCCATATAAACATCTACCAATATGACTCATAATTCATAAAAGCAATACACTAAAGTCATATACACAAATAACTATATGTCTCAATGCCCAACACTTGCCCAGAACTCATTGGCAATGTGATCTCTCATACAAGTCATTTGACGAAGATGAGTTTGACTGATATCTACTTCAATCGGGTTTTGTGAAGTCGATCATGCATTATCATCCACCCTATCATCATTACTGAACTTAGCAAACAATTGATCTTGAGTAGTGTGCATTCTAATGAAGTTATGGACTATACAACAAGCTTTTGGATTGTATTTTGGTGTTCTTATAGGGTTAGGGGGTATTTGTTTGAGAATGGGAAACTGAGGCTTTAGCACTCCAAAACAACACTCAATGTCATTCCGAAGTGATGAGTGATAGTAATTGAATAGCTCTATCTCACTTCTTGGATGTCACCTACTACCTCTATACTCATGTAAATGATATGTCTTGCCACGATACTATGATAAAAACCCAGACATGTCCGTATATACAGAATCAACAACATAATACTTATCTATTAAATGGTACACTTATTATAAATTTTACGAAAGGAAAGGAAGGTTACAATGAAGAATTACCTCCTTTAGGCATTGAGAATTTAATGGACTCAATAAATGCTCTGGAGTCATTGACAGTTCCTTCCTAACCACCCATAACGAATGTGAATCGCATGTCGAATGAATATGCCCATATAACATTTTGTGTTTGTTCAACTTTCTTACCACGGTATGAGATTTGCTTACTCACCAAAACACGTGCATCGACATGGGTTCTATCTATAACACAATTCTAAAATATAATAGTTTGTTAATATGCATAATAATGTTAAAATTTCAGTTATTGCATTAAATTATGACTTCAAATTAAATCCATATAGCATCCTCAAATAAAATCCATATACTCCACTAGTTATTGCTAGGAAATTAGTGGAATGTAGACTTT